GCGCCCGGGCCCCCCTTTAAAACCCCGGCGCCCGCCCCCCGAGCCGGAGCCAATGGGGCGCCCGCATCCTCCGCCCGTGACGTCACCCACAACAATACCCGCCCTCCGCCGTGGGCAGGACTTCCGTGCAATCCGCTTGCTCATTGGTGGCTCCACCTGCTACTCACGTGCGAGCCCGGACAGAGCGTCCCCGTCAGCCTCGGCGTCCTCAGCCAAGGTGAGCATGCGCAGTTGCAGGGGTGACGCTGCCGGCTTCAGTCCCTGTCGGGAGGCTGAGCGGGGTGAGGGCGGAAGACGGCAAGGCGGCCTCCCCAGCCTCCGCCTAGCGCTCACATCCGGGTTCGTGCCACGACGCAATAGTGCTGGGAGCGACGGCCGTAGTGACGTCAGGAGGGGGCGGGTGACGTGGGGCGGTGCCTGGTACCGCTCGGGGGGGTAGCGGGCGGCTTACGCCGTTGGTAGCGGCCAGTGCCTGACCTTGTGAAGGTCCGTTGAGAGCACCGAGTCCTCGTTACAGCCATGAACTCGGATGCATCATAAATGCAATTTCAGTACAGACGTTCGCTCCTAAAAAGCTGCCTTCTCTGGAAGAAATGCACGTTCCCTGTGCCCCTTGAGTATGAATGCACCGATTCCAACGACCAGTTTTCCTTTGCAGTCTGGGAACTGAATCGTCTTTATCCCTTGTAATAAATGTGCCCGCTAAGTACCTGTCACCATTTCTTAAACTACTGCGTGGTGTGAGAATGAGGGTTGGTTCTGTCAGGTATGTGTGTAGAAAGCACATCCTTCCCGCCTGTGTTCACAAGCACTGGAAGTGCGTTTCCTCACAGGAGTCAGCCGGATCCAACGCCGACCACCATGAGGCTCACAGGCGTGCTGAGAGGGATGGGCCATTTGTGCATGACACTTAGTAGCAAACAATTTGGATTATTGCATTGTGAGGGATTACTCAAAAGGAGGATGCAGGGAAGGGCCATCTAGTTTAGTGAACTGCATCAGAGTCCACAAGATGCAGATATTTGGCTTCAAATGGGGATGGGGTGGAGAGCCAGGGCAGCCACAGTGTTCCAGCGGTGAACTACTTTCTTCAGAAAGATTTTTGCAATAGCCAGCCTAAATCAACTTTCCTGTATGATGATTTTTCTCTTCCTTTTCTTCAGCAGACAAGTAGAACAACTGATCATAATCTTCTAATAGGTTGGGCAGGGGTGTGTGTGCGTTTTTTTGTTTTAAATATACCTTCACTCTTCTTCAAGCTGTATCCAAATTCTTGGCCTCATAGGCAGTGTTTTCTTCCCTGGATTCTTTCCAACTGATTTACACCTTCCTGAAGGTATCATGCCTAGACTTGGATATACTATTCAACGGCGGCCTCATTTGTTACAAGTAGAATGAAATAAGTACTTGCTACCATTCTCAAATTACATGTCTGTTATTATGTGCTATAATAGTATTTGTCTGTCTGCAGTAACATTTCACTGTTAATTCATTATTATATTATGGTACACTGCTGCTCTCACATCCTATTTCAATATATTGCTAGTAACCTATTGTTCCCCAGTTTATATTAATGCATTTGCTTTCTCTTTCGAAGTGCAATCCTTCGCACTTTATGGAATTTCATGTTATTTAGACTGTATTTAAAATTTGTCAAAATATTTTTTCTCCTCATTTTTGTCTCCCAAAATGACTAAAAATCCTTCCCAGAACAATGTCACAAATCTTGCATGCATACTTTCTATTTTGTCACCAAAATTAATGAAAACGTTGCATCAGACCAAGATTGAGCCAGGATAGACTCCTGGAATACCACTTGAAATGCTGTTTCAGTTTAATGGGGAACTATTAAAGATTAGACTCAAATGCATTTTCAAGAAGTGTAATAATTCATTCATAAGTCTAGGTGGTATCATTTAGGCCAACTAGCTTCCTTAGTGCTCCTTTAAAATTGAACTGTGTTAAAAATCTTACCAAAAGTCAGATTATATAATATATGCTCTTCCCCATCATCAGCAAGTAAACTCTCATAGAAGGAAGTTGATGAATCAATTTATAACGTTTCTCACTTTTGAAATCCTCTGAATAGTTAAAAATTTTTTTTTTAGTAATTTATTACAGAATCCTTTTAAAGAATGAAGTTAGGCTAGTTGGTTTATCATTATTTTGGGCCCTATTTCTCCTACATTTAAAGATGAGACTGTTTATCTTTCAAAAGTCCTCTGGGTTTCTTGTTCTGCGTGGCTTCTCAGAAATAACTTTCAACGTTGCAGAGGCTGCTTTGGGAAGTTATTTATGGTTCGCTTGTTTTTTTGTTTTTGTTTTTGCAAAAAATACTTTAGGGCAAGTTCCATCTGGCCCTGCAGAATTTAACACACCTGTTAAGGGGTTTAACTCAAATTTTGTGTGTGCAACTGTCATCTTGTTAAAATGAATCTTATTATCTTCATTGTTAAACTATATTTTTCTACTGAAACAAAAAGAGGGTGCTGTATCCTTCAATCCATTACACATCATCTATTGTTCCCTCACTTTCCTGCTCAGTAATGGGTCTCTACTCTCCCTTTTTCCTCAGACTGCTGACAAACTCATAGATTTTGTTGTTGCCCCCTGTTCTAATTTTAGTTTCTCAGTTTGTTTTCAGCTGAGCAAGAGATAAAAATCTCTACTGTACAAGTTTTCCAGCAGGTCTGGTACCCTAAACTCTGCAAGATGAAGCCATTGGACTCTGCAGCGTTGTCTTCATCTCAAAGAATGACAGCAAAACTTGGCTTTACAGCATCAATGAATACTTTCCATGCTGAAAGGCTTGAATTGATATGATATACTGGTATTTCATGAAACAGCTTTAGATGCTATTGTGTCCTTTACTACCTCTGTTCTGAAGGCGCCATTCTTCGTTTTGCTATAAAGGAAAATGCTACAGTTTACTGTGTCTGATGTTAAGCAGCAGAACCTAGCGAATTGCCTATAGTGATGCTGTTGCCTGATTTGTGTTTGTCTCAGCTCATACGTGGTGAGATACATGTATAGTTTGTATGGCTGATCCACAGCCCAGATAAGCAGGTGTACAAATGAATCAGAATATGATGTCTGCCTACTGGAATAGGAAGTGAGTCTGAACAGGACTGTCTTGATGCATACAGCTTAATTGAGTTGTCATGTAATATTATTCTGGGTCTGTCCTTCTTCATTCCTTTTCTTTGTGTTCACAGCTCTCAGCTGTGTAACATTTGAAATAGCTGTAAACCTTGCTCTGTGCAATCCATAAATTTTACTAGTTCTGTGACGAGCCTGATATTTTTTGAGCCTTGTAAAAATATGCAAGGACATAAACAAACATAAATCTGACTGTTCAATCAGCTGTATGGACCATTATGATACTGTCTAGTTATAGAGCCAAAACTCTGAACCGGTGAGAGAAAAATCTTGCCAGATCAAATGGAAAAGAATTTGCTTTTTGGCCAGGAGGATCTGTTTGAATTCACATATGTGAAAACCAGCAGGGCATTCAGCAGCCACAAACACTGTTACAGTATTAATGCCCTATCTAAGCTACACAAAAGTTTTTTACTACTTGGCAGAGTTTCTCCTACTTTCATTACCATAATTTGGCACTGATGTTTTCCTAGACGTCTTTACTTTCCACGATCCCAGTTTATTTACAAAATTTTAAAAATAATACAACAAATCTTCTGACTACCCTTTCTTGATAAGAGGATCTTATGCTTTTGCCTACTGAAGTTACAAGCATCTTCCTACTCTGCAAGGTTATATGATCTCAACAGCATCACTCAGAATATGTCTCTGTAGTTTTCCAAGAACCAAATTCAAGTGCAAATACATTCCTCTGCAGTCCTGGGTGCTAACCTTCTCCTGTCACGTGACCTCTAAATGGCGAGAGGTTGGAAAAAGCCTACTCTAGTTTCAGGTATGCTCGAACCATTACTCCTGTCAAAAAAGTAAACTGGTGTTTTACAACTGCAGTTAATTTCTGCTGTAGCATTTTTGCTATGTATGTGGTGCATGTGTTTGCATTTCACAGTGCAAGCAGTAGAAGCTGTGGAGGCCATGTTAACAGATAATCTCTCTACTACTTTTTGAATGTAGTTTTATTTTAAGAAAAAACATTATCTTTGGAAAACAAAAATAAGTCTGCAGCGACCCATATAAAGAGAATTAAAATAGTTCTACACAAAATGCAGGGAAAAAATGAAATCAACGGAAGTAACAGCAGGAGTGTAAACATAATTCACGAAGCAGGTGTAACTGATGTAGCCTTTCACCAATAACAGTAACAGGAGAAAGAACTCTGTGGCACTTGTAAAATCTAGACAATTAAATTAGGTGTCTAAAATATCTTTCCCTTCTCCCTCTGACTGTAGAGATCCTGTTTTAAGCATAATTTAAATCCTATTTCCATGGTCCCCAAACGTGAATGTGGAGATAGAATTCCCTTCATACACTGATACGCATTTTGAAGCTGCTTAGATGTTTTGCTCCAGCAACTTTTAGTACAAAATGAGAACCTCATTTCTATGTTTGATCAGGAGCATTCATCTACGTTAAGTCTAATCTTAGTCAGTTTATGGAAGACATGTTCTGTGAATCTTTCTGAACTACATATTTAGTGTATGGTGGCTTGTGGTGATGTTGAAGTTTACACAGTGACCACATTTAGACTTCTAAACCTGTCATTGTTTAAGTAGCTCTACCCCTTTGCATTTCTTACCAGTGTGTAAAAGCAGTCACACCTCTTCTCTTCCAGTACCTGTTGCAGCCTTGGTTAATTTCCTGAACATGGGTGACTGGATTTTTTGAATACACAGTAGTGCAGAAGAATACAGATATAAGGAAGAACTCCTTTCCTAGAGGAAATAATGTGTTGTCTTGGGTAAGACAGTTTACTGCAGTATTCAGAGAGGTGAACTGCACCTCCCCTACCCTGCTGAGTGAATTGCAACGGTGATCCTTTTTTAAGAAGTGTGTGTAGCTTTGCTATTCACCTGGTGACAGACATTTAATTACCAGGCTGAGGGAAAACGTAGAAGTAATTTAGTAGATTAGAGCGGACCAACAAAAACATTTTAGAAGCGCTACTGGCACCTTAACGTTCTGCCGCAAAGGAGGGAAGTCTCTTCCAGCAGGTGGCAACGGCACGCTGTGGGACGGGGCGCTGCCTGCGAGGGCATCGGTGCCGAGCCGGGGAGCCGCGAGAGATCGCGCTGTCCTGGGGGGGGG